AAAAAAAAAAAAAAAAAGAAAAACAAAGACATCAAGATTGTCCCTGCAGAGCCAGAGATTTAGTTCAGTGCTGCCTCCTGCCTTGCAAGCACAAGAACCCCAGTTCAATGCCCAGTACCAAAACAAACAAACAAACAAAAAAGATTATGGGTGCAGTTGGGCATGGTAGAACATACTTGTGATTACAGCACTTGGGAGGCTGAGACAGGAGGACTGCCATGAATTCAAGGACAGCCCAAACTACACAACAAGACAGCCTGTCCCCCAAACAAGAAAAGATTGCAGCTGGAGATGCAAAATGGAGATGCAATGTCTGGGCTTGCTTGCCTCGCTAAGGGTTAAACTGCAGTTTGAGATTTTACTGTACTTAGCACCAGTTGGTCCAGTAAGTGCAGATAAGCGTCAGATGCCCAGAACATCTGGACCCATCCTAATATACTTTTGCTATGTGACTCATTTCCCTATTTTTTGTCTTGACTTTGAGACAGAGTCTCCCCATGTAGCACAGGCTGACCTTGAACTCACTATATATCCATGGCTGGCCTTGAACTCAGTGATCTTCCTGCCTCAGCCTCCCAAGTGCTGAAATTACAAATGTGAACCACCTTACCTGGATCGTTATTGAATCAATTTTCACTAAGGGATGATTCTTGTAATCCTATAAATTGATTGTAGTCTGACCCATGTTGTACCCTCGATGTGACTTTGCTGTGTAAATTACCCACCATAACAGCATGGAGAAGGCCCTCACCAGATATCAAATGCCACTGCTTTAATCTCGACTTTCCAGACCTTGAAGCAATGAGAAAATGAATTTTTTATTTTATAAATTGCCAGGTACTTTGTTATAGCAGCACAAGTGGACCGAGCCATAGTGCAAATTTCCTCAGTCCTTAAGACACTTCCTTCCTGAGGACCCAATTCTTTTTGTTTTTGTTTTTAGACAGGGTCTCACTATTTAGCCCAGGCTGGTTTCAAACTCACACCCATCCTCTCAGCCTCCCAAGTGCTGGGATTAAAGGCCTGCGCCACCACACCCAGCTGGAGGACCCAATTCTAAAGTGACTTTCTTCATAGGCTTTATGGCAAATGGACACAAGTATTTTGCTTTTCGTTTTTTTTGGTACCGGGGATCAAACTTGGGTCCTTGCGCTTGCAAGGCAGGCGGCGGAACCACTGAGCTAAATCCCCGGCCCTTGGACACGAGTATTTTGATAATTACCCTTATCCTAAAATATATCCTGCTACTAAATGACATATATTTCTTGTCAATCTTTCATGGATTTATGTCCTCGACTAGATATGTTGAACCAGTGGCGGAGTTAGGGAACCTGTTTTTTTGTGAAACAGAGAAGGCACTCAAATTTTGGGGCTTGACTGAGAACTGGATATAGTAATTATGAAAATGAATTAATTTCTAAAATCGGGTATAAGTCCTTTAATAAGCCTGGAAGTATAAAAGAAGGATGAGCTTCAGACACAGCTAAATGGAAAGATCTGGTGACCGTACTCTCAAGTGAAATCAATCAGACACACGTTTATTTTTTTTTTTAAAGTATCTAATTTTATTGTTTTCACATTGAAGTAATTTTCCAAATAAGACAACTAGGGTATTTGCCTATATAAAATTCATTGTGCCTATTTGTCTTATTATATAATATAGAAAAGTAATATTCTTGACTTATTCTCAGGCGCTGAGCCAGAGGTGTGTTTATTTTCTTACTGTATTTGTTTTCTGTAAGGGACACACACGTGTTAATACTGCATCGTTTCGCTGATGTGCGAAACAGAAAGAGGAGATAAGGGACTAAAATGTACAACAGATATTGGGACATGGGAAGAAAATGTTCAAACGGAAAGGGGAACTAGGGAGGAGGGAGGAAGGAGAGAAGGGACAAGAAAAAAAGTGAAATAGAAGGGGAAAATGGAAACAAAGCTTGGAGGGTCTTGAGGGGAGAGGGGAATGGGAGAAAAAAGAGACAGGATGTATCATGGAGGGGTGCAAATTCCCTATGAGTATTATCATTATGTATGCCTAAAATGTACCAATAAATGTTTTGCTATAAAAAAATAAGCCTGGTAGTATGATTTGGTCATAGCAACATCTGGCCACCTGCAGGGGGACCTGTGCTTAATGCACAGCTGTGGGAGGGATGAGGTCAGTCTCAAAAATTTCGGAAAAATCTGCAACCTTTACAAAGCGTTCTGTCATACTACACCATTACCTGGCCTGAATTGTTCTGCAGCCTAGGCAGCACAGAGAAGGTTCCAGATGGGACCTAGATGTACTCTGGCAATTTCCTCTTCCGTCACAGTAAATTCTCACAGGTTAAGCAGAAGGGCCTGGTGTACGTGTTTCAACTCCATCCCCTTCATCCTGCTCACCCCTAGGGCAACATGCTTCAGGGATGCTAGGAGAAGCTCCGGATTGACCGCCCTATCCTTCCCCATCAGGCCTTATCATAATGTTTGGGAGAAGGCAGGGAGATCAGAATTGAAGAGCCTTGGTTCCCTACCATGAACATATTCAGCTGCTCTAAGGTCAGGCCTGGGCACCCCTCCAACTCCCAACGGATGGGATGCCACCTGTCAGGGGCGGGACAGGTGAAGGCTGCGACTTAGAACGAATGACTTGAGGGGAAGGTGTGAACGTAAGGGAGAAATCTGTTCTCTGGAAAACGTCAGGCGGTGGTATAGACGGGAAAGGGCTGAACTCGAGTGCCCGGAAGGTTTCAGCCCTCACGGGGAGCCGGATCGCGATGAGCGGATCGGGCCGGCTCCAGAAGACAATGTCGACGACGTCGCGGAGGGACCGGCAGCCCGAAGAAGGCCGGCCGGCGCCGCTCCCTCCCGGAGGGAGAAATCTGTTCTCTGGAAAACGTCAGGCGGTGGTATAGACGGGAAAGGGCTGAACTCGAGTGCCCGGAAGGTTTCAGCCCTCACGGGGAGCCGGATCGCGATGAGCGGATCGGGCCGGCTCCAGAAGACAATGTCGACGACGTCGCGGAGGGACCGGCAGCCCGAAGAAGGCCGGCCGGCGCCGCTCCCTCCCGGGGAGGCCTTCACCGCGTCCACCAGCCCCTCGGCGCAGCGGCGCATCTGGCCGATGGTGTCCGCCGCCTTCATCAGGTGTCGGTACCTCTTGCCCACCATCTGCCGCAGCCCCGCCTTCTTGTGCTCCAAACAGGGCCCGACCTGGCACTTTAGCCTGCGGATTTCTTCCGCACCAGAGAATCGAAAAGCGCCTCGGGGTCCCGCAGAGCCAGCAGATTCAGGGTAGGGGCGACGGTGGCTACCCTGAAGAACCAGTCACCGGCGACCACTTCCGGCCATCAGACCCGCCCTCGCCGCCATCTTAGATGAGGGCAGAGGCACTTCCGCCCCGGGACCGTGTTTGTTCCGGCTTCCCGGGCCAAGAGGACTGGCTCTGGAATATGGGCGGCGGGGAGTGATCATATACTTGCTAGCCAACATTCGTATCTTCATGGCGCATGTGGACCCTTTCCTCGTGAGAGGTCAGGTCAATTATCATAATTAAGCATCTGCAGTCTGGTTGTTATTCCCCCTCTAGATCCTTGCGTTCCCACAGGCAATGGCAATGCCAGGATAGGGGCGGTGCCTGGGCGATCACGTGACGCTTGCGTTCCCATTGGCAATGGAAATGCCAGGATGAGGGCGGTGCCTGGGCGATCACGTGATTTCGGTGTCTGTGGATCCTTTTTCCCCCCACTCCCCTGCGCGCGGGTGCTGGGTTCCGGTGGAAGCGGGCGTGGACGAGCCGTCTGAATAAACTGAGTAGTTTGCCTTCCGGCTAAAGGGTGGAAAGTCTTCCCGGTGTTCTTTGAACCTTTCCTTTTTAGAAAAGAGCTTTGCAGTCAGGTTCATTATTCAGATATCTGCAGTCTGATTGTCATTCCGCCTGCATGTATAGACCCGGTGGTGCGTGCTTGTAGTTCCAGCCACTCTAGCGGCTGAGGAAAGTTTGAGGCCAGCCTGGGTAAGACTACCTCGAAAAAGGAGAGGATGGGAGGTGAGGAGAAATTGTTTGTTTGTTTTTGAGACAGGGCCTCGCTTTGTAGTTCACGTTGGCCTTGAACACACTATATAGCCCAGGCTGGCCTTGAACTCTGAGTATCAGCTTCCTGTATGCTGGGATTACAGGCATGCGCTATCATGCATGGCATTCATTTTGTTGGTGTGAAACAATTTTTTTTTAGACCAGGTCTGCTATATAGTTCAGGCTGGCCTTGAACTCACTTGTGTAGCCCATGCTAGCTCGATCCTCCTTCATCCTCCCACTTACTGGGATTACTGGTATGCACCATCACACCTGGCTGTCAGTACAGATTCCGCAAGGTGCAAGGGTACCAATCAGCCCCATTCTGGCGAAGGGCACGACTTGCTGTGGTGACTCCTGTCACCTCTGTCAGGGTCTGTGAAGGCTGGAAGTGACATCACATGCAGTAGATAAGTGGTTTCTGGGGACTAACCCTCGCTGCAGGTCCTGCAAGGTGAGGGCATGGCAGGCACGAAGTGGGGCTGGCTCAGATTGAGCTAGATTCTTTTCAGGCTTGTAGAGACATCTTGCCCTGGAGGAAGTGGGCCTTTCTGGATCAGCTTTCTTTTGTGTGTGTGTGTGTGTGTTTTCTTTTTTGGTACCAGGAATTTGGGGGGGGTGTAACCAGGAATTGAACTCAGGTTCTTGCGCTTGCGAGGCAGGCGGCAGAATCACTGAGCTAAATCCCCAGTCCCCAGGAATCTTCACTCGGGACATTGTGCTTGCTAGGTAGGAGCTGTGCTGCTGGGCTACATCCATGGCCTGTCCATCTGCTTTCTTCTGGGAAGTTTTTCTCCATTCCAGCCAGTTACACGGCAGCTGTCAATCATGCCCCCCCCACACACGTAAGGGGACATACATAAGATTGTGGCAGGGGCAGTTTCAGTATCTCTTCTTCCTTACCTTGATGACTGGCACAGGGACGAGCATGTGACCTGTAAGACTGAGGTGACCACTGAAGAACTAAGACTCCAGGAATTCACATTATCGTGCTATCCTTCCCACACTCACTGAGTTTGGCCCAGTGGGGTCAAGGAAATGCAAAGAGTATGAGGTGCTCTTTAGATTCCTAAGTACCTGTAGGGAGAACAACAGGGAATAAAAGAAACAGGCACAGTATACAATTTTCTGTGGGGGACGAAAGGGAACTCCAGTGAACGAGCTTCCCTAAACTCCAAGATGGACCAGCTTTTATTATTCGCCAAGAAGTGCAGGGGAGGGTGTAGTATGCTATCCGAGGAACAGCGACTGTTGTAAGATTATATTTCAGGGTTGGGAATTTAGCTCAGTGGTTCCACCGCCTGCCTTGCAAGGTCAAGGTCCCGAGTTCCTCCCGGGTACAAGCAAGATAGGGACTAAGTTTAGCATCTCAAAGGGAAAAGTTAAGGTCTCGGGCCTGTGGGGCCTGTAATCGGGCCCCTCACCAATCTATGCGTATCATGGCTGGTCCCAACAAAAAAGAGTTGATAAACGCTTGGCCAATGGGACTGGCCCTCTCAGAACACTCATCTTTGAAATCAACCAATAACAAATGTTTGGGGGGCTGTGGGGAAAAGGAACCCTTCTCCACTGTTGGTGGGAATGTAGACTGGTGCAATCAGTGTGGAGATTTCTTAAAAAAATAAAACTAGAGGTTCCATTTGACTAAGCTATACCTCTTCTTGGCATCTTCCTGAAAGAATTAAAAGCATCATACCACAGGGCTATATGCACACCGATGTTTATAGCAGCACAGTTTGTAGTAGCTAAATCTTGGAAACACCCCAAATAAATGCCCATCAGCTGACAAGTGGATAAAGAAGATGTGGGGTTTTTTTGTTTGTTTGTTTTTTAATACAACGGAATGCTGCTCTGCCATAAAGAAAGATGAACTTCAGACATTTATGGCTAAATGAATGGACCTTGAAACCATACTTTTATGTGAAATAAATCAGACACACGTTTAAATACCAGATTGCTTCTCTGCTGTGAGAAACTGAAAGTGGAAATAAGGTCTGAAATGTATACTGGATGTTGGGAAATGGGAAGAAAGTGTTCAGTTGGGAAGGGGAATGAGGGAGTAGGGAGGGAGAAAGGAAGGAAGGGACAAGAAAAAAGTGAAAAGGAAAAATGGAAAGAAAGCGTTTGTACATAGGGAGGGGAGGGAGTTTGAAGGGAAACGGGATAAAATAAAATTTCTAAACAAAACAAAACAAAAAAACCACTCATCTTTGAGCTGCCATGTGAAACTTTTAAAATGTTCAAGTCCTTTGTTCCTGCAATTCATTTTCAGGAATTTTGTCTACTGGGATGGTTTCCAAACTGTTCCTTGTGGGCCACTGGGGTCCCATAGAGGTGCCTGTTGGTTGCCCCAAATCTCAGTCCTGCCACCCCTGATCACTAGCAGCCATTGTAGGACGTCTCACTGCACCCTGGGAGGGAGCCTAGTATAATTTGAAACCTGGAAGTGCTCAGGCCCTGGGTGTCCAGTCCTGTGCAGGAAGGGCCTGCATTGGCCTCCACCTTTGGGGTCACCTCTATTCTCACATGGGTGTCCTGTCTTTCAGACATGATGAGCTCCAACCTTCTTTCAGTTGTCAGCTGCTTAAACAAGACAGTGTCCCAATCAGGAAGAATCGGTGAGGGGAACACAGTGGGACCAAGTTAGTGGGCAGATCCCCAAGAGGGCTGGGGTTACAGGTGTACGCCACCACACCAGGCTTGAAAACACTCAACTCAAAGGATTCTATTAGAGATCATTTCCCACAACCTCATTAGGTATGGCTAATTACCTAGTACTTTAGTTTCCTTCAGAAGGAAGATGATCCACCACCTGCCTTGCAAGAGTAAGGACCCGAGTTCGATCCCAGTACCAAAAAAGTCCAAAACAAATAGAAATACAAACAAGAAACAAACAAACAGAAGCAAGATGAAACCAGCGTTTATAAAGAGACCATACTGTCCACCCGATAACCCCATCCTTAGGACTTTACTCTAAAAATACACTTAAATAGAAAAGCGCTTCCCTGTGGGACATTGGATCTTTGGGGCTGGACTAAAAGAACAGACCCAGAAACCTGCCATGGTGGGTGTGGGGAAGTGGTGTTTGAGTTGGGTTTTGTCGGATCTCGAGCTCCACTCCTGCAGACCTGAGCTAGCGCTTTAAAATTCGCGGGCCCGCCTTGCGCAGGCGCAGTACTGCTTTAATCTCACTGCGCATGCGCAGCGACGTTAGGCTGGCACCGTTGACGTCCTTGGCGGTACCCACCAGCAGCGACAAAACCTTGTCGGCTTGGGAGGCTAGCTCTACACCCACGACTGAGCCTTCCCATGTAAGCAGGACCCAGCATAAAGGAATGGATGGAGAATGCCGTCTTCTTGCTACCTGTGAGGTCAGAGTCCTGCCTTATCCACCTTGTCAGAGGCCCCACCGGACTCAGGTAGGGAGGAGGAAGCTCTTGACAGCCAGCGCCTGGCGCTTCCTAGTGTTCTTCTCCACGGGGTGCTGCCTCTTTAGGAAGTGGAAGGCTTCCTTCCTGAGGATGTGTTTTGAGTCGCACCCCTCGTGGAAGGGCTCGGGCAGTATGAGGGGACGCGTGGGTCTGTTTCTGGGACGAGATTTCCTGGGGGCCACCGCGCAGCATTCTTTGTTCACCGTATTCCCGACTGGCCTTTTCGTTTCAGTCCTGGTTCTCCTAAACGCCACTGGGCCCATCCTGGTTTCTGTGCTGTCAACACACTTATTTTTTAAAAATAAAAATTTATTTTATTCCATTGCCCCCTCAAGCTCCCTCCCTTTCCTATGTACAAAAGCTCTTCCCATTTTTTCTTGTTTCTTCCTTCCTTTACCCCTCCCTGCTTGAACACTTTCTATTTCCCAACATCCATTATACATCTCAGTCTTTATTTCCACATTCAGTTTCTCATAGCAGAAAAGCAATCTGGTATTTAAACATGTGTGTCTGATTTATTTCACTTAAGAGTGTAGTTTCAAGTTCCATCCATTTAGCTATAATGGCTGAAGCTCATCCTTCTTTATGGCAGAGTAGTATTCCATTGCATTAAAAAAAGAAAACTCACACCTAGGGCCAGGGATTTAGCTCAGTGCCACCATACCTACCTCACAAGAGCAAGGTCCTGAGTTTTCCAGTACCAAGAAAACAAAACAAAAAAACCCAAAACCACTTGTCAGCTGATGAGCATTTGGGCTGTTTCTAAAATTTAGCTATTACCAACTTTGCTGCTATAATGCATATATATTATATATATAATACTATATATGCATATATAATGCCATAACACTATGATGCATATATCACTGCGGTATGATGCTTTTAATTCTTTTGGGACCATACAAGAAGAGGTATCGCTGGGTCAAATGGACCCTCTAGTTTTAGTTTTTTGAGGTATCTCCTCACTGATTTCCACAGTGATTGCACCAGTCTACACTCCCACCAACAGCGGAGAAGGGTTCTTTTCTCCACAGTCCCTCCAGCATGTTATTGGTTGATTTCTTGATAGCAGCCATTCTTTCTGGCTCAAATCTCAGTGTTGTTTTTATTTGCATCTCTCGACCAGTGATGTTGAATATTTTTTCATATACTTGCCATTTCTGATTCTTTTCTCTTTTGGTTTTTTGAGACAGGGTCTCACTATGTAGTTGAGACTGACCTGGAACTCACTATGTAGCCCAGGCTGGTCTTGAACTCACACTGATCCTCCTGCCTCAGCCTCCCGAGTGCTGGGATTACAGGCGTGCGCCACCCCGCCTGGCCTGAGAAGTGTCTTTTTATTTTAGATGCCCATTTTTGCAGTGGGTCTTTAAATTTGAGGGACCTAAGTTTTTTGAGTTCTTTATATATTCTAGATAATAGTCCTTTATCTGAATAGCTGGTAAACATTTTTTCCTCACTCTGAGTTGTTTCTTCACTATTGGTTTCTCTTGCTGTTCAAAAGTTTTTTAATGAGGTGTCAGTTGTTCATTCTTTGTAGTATTTCCCATGCAGTCCGAGTTTTTGTTTTTTTGTTTTTTAAACGGGATTTGAATATGGGGCCCTTGTGCTTGTGAGGCAGGCGGCGGAACCACTGAACCAAATCCCTAGCCTGATTCTGGGTTTTGTTCATGGTTTTTGCGTACTCTATGTCCTCAAGCGTTGTACCTATTCTGTTCCAGCAGACTTAGTATTTCTGTCTTAATATCTAGAGCTTTGACCCATTTCAATTTTAAGTTAATTTGTGGTGAAAGATGCTGGTTTTTCCAGAACCATTCATTAAAGAAGCTTTCTTCCAGTGAAGGTGTTTGGCTCCTTTGTCAGAGATAAGGTGGCTGAGTGAGTGTGTGTGGAGTTGTTTCTGCATCTTTTGGTCTCTTCCACTGATCCTCAGATCTTTTTTTTTTTTTTTTTTTTTTTCCCGTTCATCACATGCTGTATTTTTCTTTTTTTTACCATGCTGTTTTTATCACAGTAGCTTTGTAGTGTAATTTCAGGTCAGGGATTGTTCATCACATTTTACTGAGCTAGCAAGGCTCAAAGAGCCCAAAAGGCAGGTGGCTGGAAGCTGCTTTTCCAGAAATCTCTATTCAAAGTGGGTTAAGTCTATGTCCATACCGCCCTAAATGTGCCTGATCTCATCTGAAAGTGAGTTCAAAACTGAGATCCTTTGTTCTACTGGGATGAAGTAATGAATTCAGTAACAGGCCAGTATTTTTGTCGCTCTTTGGCTTAGACTGCTTCCAAATGCAATGCCACACCGATCCTCTAGATCCATTATACCTTTTTTTTTTTTTTCTGAGACAGTGTCTTGCTATGTAGTTCAAGCTGGCCTCAAACTCACAGTGTTCCTCCTGATTTAGCCTCTGAGTACCAGGATTATAGGTGCATCACCAGGGTTGGCTAGATCCATTTTGGTTTTGGTTTTGGTACTGGGGATCAAACTCGGTCCTTTCGAAGCAGGTGGCAGAACCACTGAGCTAAATCTGTAATGTGACACTATAGAGGTGAAACCCAAATTTACTGATGTAAAATCTCAAGTTATTTTATGTGACCTTTTGAGAAATCTTTGCCAGAAGAATTCTGGCTTATATTTAGTTTTATGTGGATTTAAATTGTATAAGTTTCACAAACTCTGTCAGTGTCACATAAACAATGCTTTACCATCATCACTTCAACAGTGCCTGTTTGAAGTCCCTTCAATTCCCAGAAAATGGGGGGAAACATTCTTTAATGCACTGTAGAACACCTTAACGTGCCAACCAATTTTACTTTGGTAGAATCCCTGGACAGTAACTCATTGTGTGCTTCTATGTATACTACCCTGTTCAACATCCTCATCCATCCTGATCCACTTTTTGGCACTGAAATAGTCACCTGTCAGACTGCCACCTGTCTTGCAAGAGCAAGGTCCCAAGTTTGATCCCCAGCACCAAAACAAAGAAAAAAACAAAAGAAAAGGGCTGAAGGTATAGTTCAGTGTGAAGGCCCTGGGTTCAGTCCCTAGGATTGAAAACAAAACAAACCAAAAACAAACAAACAAACAAACAAAACCCCACCTGTCAGACATGCTTTAAGTTTTAGACAATGATCTGCCTGTTTTTTTTGTTTGTTTGTTTGGTACTGGGGATCAAACTCCGGACCTTGCACCTGTGAGGTAGGCGGCAGAACCAGTGAGCTAAATCCCCAGCCCTGACCTGCCTGTTTTCAACCTGTTATCATCTCTCATAGCCGCTTAATACAGATGGTACTGGAAAGATTACTGATAGAGCAATGAAGAAAATGTTCAACAAATCAATGTATAGCTAACATAATGAGACCCTGTCTCAAAAAAAAAAAAACAAGGGGGAGAAAAAAATAAAAATACCAACAACAAAAAGTCTTATGGATTTGCACATTTGTACACAGGCTGCTTACTAGCAATACCTACGGGTTAAAAACTCAGAGGAGTTTCTGGACACTCACTTTCCCAAAGAAGACTCTATAGTTCCTTTTCTTCTGCTTCTGGATCTAAAAAATTCCCTGACTTGTCACTTCTCCTTGGTAGGATGTTTTCCTCCGTTACTTATGAAAGGGCTGGCAGGCTGGGCATGGAAGCAAATGCCTGTAATCTCAGCCCTCAGGAGGCTGACACAGGAGGATCTTAGTGAGTTTGAGGCTAGCTGGGGTAACATAGTGAGTGCAAGGTCAGCCTGAACTACATAGTGAGAATTTGTCTCCAAAAAAACAGGGTGGGAGGGCTGAGCATGTAGATCTGTAGTAGAGTACTTGAAGGCCTGGATTTAATCCCTAGTACTGCAAAACAAGCAAACAAGAATTTAAATGTTAATCACATGATTTTATGGAAATCTTAATTGACAAAGTACAGTCTTATCAATGTAATCACCTATTCAGATTTGTGAAATAGCACCATCCATTATCTGACATCTACCTATAAATTAGAAAGCTGTCTGTAGAAACAACAATAGTGGCTATCTGGTACGTCCATTTTATTTTACTTTATTGTTTTGAGTGCTGGGGATGGAACTTGGGCCCTTGAGCTTGCCAGGCAGGCAGCGGAACCATTGAGCCAAAACCCCAGCCCCCAGCTTTCCATTTTAAAGTGAAATTTTTGCCAAAAAAAAAAGCAATACTCCACAACTACAATCATCAAAGTAAAACTGATTCTGGAAAGAGTTCAATGGATCAGGTTGGGGGTGTGGCTCAGTGGCTGAGCATCTTCCTAAGCCAGTGGTGGCAAACCTATGGCATGTATGCTAACAGCGGTCTGTGTGTATCACTGAAAGCCCTGAAAGGTTCACCCAGATTGTGGGAGGCCCTGAGTTTGATCCCAAGCACTGCATAAAAAAAAAAAAAAAAAGAAATCACTGTTGGGAAAAAGAATGCTAGAGCAGGATATTTAGTTTCTCAGTCTCTCAAAAACACAGATTACTTACAAAATATAACAAGAAGTACCTGTAGAGTAGAACAGTTTGGTAAACCTCGCCTTGGATGGTAGGCATCCTGATTCTGTGTCTTTACAGCATTCCGTCAAAAGCTTCTATGTGACTCTAATGTTGTAATAACTAGACAGATCCAAATTGTGGGACACTGCAAAGTAACTGGTCTAAATTCTTTAAAAATGCAATGGCTAGGGAACTGTTCCACATTTTAAAAACGTGAAAACTAAATGCAATGCATAATCATTGAATGGATCTTAGGGAACAAAAAATCCAGCTATAAATGGCATAAATGCAACAATTATAGAAATATATAAAGGACAGACATCTACATAATATTAATGTCCTACTTTTGGTTACTGTACTGTAGTCATATAGAAGAATGCTCACATTTTAAAGGAGCTGAATTATTTATAGGACTAAATTTAAAGAGTCTGAATGGGACTGTAATCCCAGCACTCAGGAGACTGAGGCAGGAGGATTGCTGCAAATTCAAGACCAGCCTAGGCTTCACAGTGAGTTCAAGGCCAGCATGAACTATACAGCAAGACCTTGGCTCATAAAACCAAAGGGGAAAAAAGTAGACATTTTAACTATCAGTAATTTACTTCTATAACACGTAGAAACCAAATTATTAGGGCTGGGGATTTAGCTCAGTGGTTCTGCCGCCTGCCTCGCAAATGCAAGGTCCTGAGTTTGATCCCCGGTATCAAAAAAATAAAAACCAAAACCAAATTATTAAACTTTACAATAAAGATTTGATAAGCCCTGTACAGTCAAAAGGGTACAGGGAGTCTCCCTGCTGACCTTTCCCTAAAACAGATACTGGGAATTGAATCTAGAACCTTCATACTGAAAACTATATACCCAATCCTTTTAGGACAGTCTCACTGAGTTGCTAAATTGCCCAGGCTGGGTTGACTTTGTGATCATACTGCCTTAGCCTCCCAAGTGCTGGGATCACAGGTGTGCGCTAACATACCTGGCTACTTGATTCTTTTCTTTTGGTACTGGGGATTGAACTCAGGACCTTGTACTTGCTAGGTAGTTACAGCGATACTGAGCTACATACCTAGCCCTATTTGTTTGATTCATGACAAGTTAATTTTCACTACAGAAACCAATTTCAAGTAGAATTAAATCAGTAGCTGTCAAGAACAAAATGTCAATGTATAAATTAAATGCCAGTAAATTTAGTTGCTTGTTTTCTCTGAAAAAATTTACAAATAAATGAAAAATTTTAATCAGTTGTGGGTATCCTGTCCTCGCCATCCCTCACATACTGGGGATTGAACCCAGGGGCCTTCTCAGTGAGCTTCATCTCCTAGCCCTTGCTAAACTGTGCAGGGTAGTCTCAAACTTGGGATCCTCTTGCCTTAGCCTCCCAGAGTGCTGGGATTATAGGCATAGCCTACCATGGCCAGCTTTCAGTATGGATTCTTATAAATAAAATAAAAATTGATAAAAGTATGAAGATCCTCAATAATCTTAGCCCCTATAAAATGGATATTTAAATCATAAAGAATCCATTATTTTAGAGCAAAAAAATTTTTTTTGGTGGTACTGGCAATTGAGCCCAGGATCTTGCATATGCTAGGCAAACACTGTACTACTGAACTACAATTTCATCTGAGACTCCCAATTTTTCTTTTTCGTCACCTGGGCTCAAACTCAGGACCTTGCACTTGTAAGGCAGGTGCGGTGCCACTGAGCTAAATCCACTGCCCATGGAACTCACAACTGTACAATGCCTAGATATCTGCAAATAATTCTTAAACAGTGTAGCAAATGAAGATAAAAAGGGAATACATATTGTGGAGACCTGAATTTTTTCTACCAAGAACTAAATCACCTCAGTTAAAATATTATATAGAGACAGTATGAGAAGGCTGGGGATTTAGCTCGGTGATTGTGCTGCCTGCCTCGAGAGCGCAAGGTCCTGAGTTTGATCCCCAGTACCCTCCACACCCCCCAAAAAGACAGTATGAATTAAGATATTGTTATTTGGTTTTTCTTTTCGTTCAAGACTACAGAGAGATTAAGAATGATCATTAAGAATGATCAAGGGAGGGCCAGGGATTTAGCTCAGTGGTTCCATCGCCTGCTTTACAAGAGCAATGTCCCGAGTTCGATCCCTGGTACAAAATCAAAACCAAACCAAACAAAAAAGAATGATCAAGGAAGCCAGGTGTGGTGGGGCATCCTAGTAATCCTAGGACTCTGGGAGGCTGAGGCAGGAGGGTTGCAAATTCAAGCACAGCTTGATCAACTTAGCAAAACCATTTCTTTCTTTTTTTCCTCGGGGTACCAGGGATCACAATCAGGACCTGGTGCTTGCAAGGCAGGTGCAGTGCCACTGAGATAAATCCCCAGTCCAGCAAGACTATTTCTAAACAAACAAATGAAGGAACTGGGAATGTAGTTCGGTGCAAAGGCCCTGGGTTTAATCCCCTGTACTGGAAATAAAACAAAAACACAAAACAACTGAGGAGAACCTGTTGGTTACATTAAGTACATGACTTAAAATGAAGCCTGTAAATCCGTGCTCTAGAATCATACTTGAAGTTTCCTTCTGTCCTAAATCCAAACAGTTAAACTAGAAATTCCACTGCCAATCAATCTATAAAACTATTTTCAGAATTTTTATAATAATACATTTTTATAACCTATACTGGCTGGTATCATTGTCAGTTACTCATGGTGCTAATCTAAGAACAAAGCAGAAGCTATTTTTTAACCCTTAGGTCTGGAAGGTGAGTGGAGGTAGGTAAAGGACAGGAAGATCGCAGGAGGCGGCACACGCCTGTGTGAGGTAGGGTCCTTCTGTCCTGCTGTGGCACTTCTGCTTTTTTGGTACCGGGGACAGAACGCAGGACCTTGTGCTGGTAAAGCAGGTGCAGTGACACTGAGCTAAATCCCTGGCCCTCAGCACTGACTTCTGTCTCAAGCACAAGCTGGTGCTGGGGCAGCTGCACACTGACGGAACTATATTCTTGTATTTCAACAGTGATTTTGAAACTATTCAAAACACATGATAAGAAATTAGACTTTTATCAATAAGTTTACTTAAAGTCAGCTCAGTCCCATATTTAAAAGTTCATAACCTGCCCTCCACAATGTCCATGGTCTAGAACAGGTTCAGGAAGCCTCAGGAACATCAACACATGACGATCCAGGTACTCACTGACACTTTCCTCTTGACACTGGGAGATGGTCACAGACAAAACCTTCCTTGCCTGGATGAGGCCAAAGATTTACATAAAAGCTTCATAAAATGTCGATGAAGAAAATACTGGTAATGTCAGAAGAGTTCCAGCACTTCAATTGAATATAATCCTCTATTGTTCTTTTCTTGATTTAATTTCTGTAGCTCCCGAAAACTTACTTCAATCTTGTTGAGCTCAGAATAAACACTTATCTGAAAAACAAAAGTTTCAGAGTTTTACCCTAACTTCTACATATAAATAAGTTTTCCACAAGCCAGTTGTGGTGGTGCATGTCTGTTATCCCAGCCCTCGGGAGGCTGAGGCAGGAGGATTGCTGCAAGTTTGAGACCAGCCTGGGCTACACAGTGAGTTCCAGGGCAGTCTGAACTACATAGTGAGACCCTGTCTCAAAAAAGAAAAAAAAATTTTTTTTCCATGAGTACTTATGACTTTTCAATGAACAGTTATCTTGGGGGTGCTGGGGATTGAACTGCATGTTAAGCACACACTCTAACCCCTGAGTAGACCCACAGCCCCTCTATGAGTAAATTAAAAGAATAAACTGTAATTTAGAAGCACAGAATAGAATCAGTATATATTAAATAATCACAAACCTGGGATTTTACAAACTTGTAAAGGTTTATCAGTAGCCTTTTTGCTTCTGGTATCATTAAGACAACAGTAAAATTAGCATCTAGAATTAGACATATCCAATCCATAATCTGAGGAGAAACAGAAACAGGAAAGTTAAGACTAAGCTTAATTCTAGATTAATTTAATTTATATTACAAAGTCCATAATTATTATAAACTGGTTCAAGAGAAATAAATTTCATAAAAGTCTAATTTAGAGATGAATTTCTGAAAACTTTCTGCTTTTGAGGCAGGAGGGTAAGGGTAGTGAGCCCAGCTTTGGCAGCATGGCAAGACCCAATGTCAAAATAAAAAAACGGACACAGAAAACGAAACCACGAATGGAATGTACTAGAGAACAGCACGACTATTTTATAATTTTAGAGTACGAAGAGCATTAAGCATGACATGATCTATAAAAGGAAAGCTTAATACATTTCAATAGCATAAAAATATGTCCATATCAGAAACTCAAAAGCTACACTGAAAAGAATAAAAAGATAAATCACAGTGAAAAAAAAAAAAGACTAATTTCCTTAAAATACAAAAAATGTTGGGCCAGGGATTTGGCTCAGTGGTTCTGCTGCCTGCTATGCAAGCGCAAGGACCTGAGTTTGATCCCCGGTACAAAAAACAAAACAAAACAAAAAACACCAAAAATGTTTTATAAGCAAAAAAAAAAAAAAAAAAAAAACAAAAAAAATTTTAAAAAAAAAAAAAAAAAAAAAAAAAAAAGGAAATACAATAGAAAAAGGACAAAGAATTTGACTCATTAGCTCTCAGAAAACAAATTAAAATACAGAAAGAACTTGACTCATTTGCTCTAGGAAAACACATTAAAATACAGAAACATGTGTTAGCTATTTGGCATAGAGTAAACGACAATTTCAGTCTACAGGAAGAATGGGAAAATAAAGGCTCAAATCTTGGTTATGGTGGTGGGAGTGTCACAACTTTTCAGAAAGGTAGGCTAGTACTCTGAAAACTAAAAACTAAAAACACCTGCTGGGGATTTAGCTCAGTGGTTCCATGCCTGCTTCACAAGCACAAGGACCCAAGTTTGATCCCAAGAACCAAAAGAAAAAGGCAAACCCAACATTATAATAGTAGATTTTGCAGGTTGTTTGGTTTAGGTCTGATTTCTATTTTTATCCTTTTCCTTTCTGTATTTTAACTTTTTTTTACCAATAAGCACAAACATGGAAAAAAAACAACAAAAAACAAACAACACATGCACCCTTTCATCCAGGAACTTCAACTGTGGGAATATACCCAACAGCTGTTCTCCCCTAAATATAAAAAGATATTTTGCTGGGTGTGGTGGGATTAGAATCCCAGCATTTGAGAGAATGAAGCAGGAGCACTACCAATGTGAGTCCAAACTAGGCTACACAGTTGGAGACCCTGTTTCAAAACAAAACAACCAAAAAGATACCTGTATAAAGATACTCACTGGCTGGGCGTGGTGGTGCACACTTGTAGCCTCAGCACTTGGGAGGCTGAGGCAGGATTGCTACGAATTTGAAGCTAGTGTAGGCTACATAGTGAGCTCAAGACCAACCTGAATTACAGAGCGAGACCCTGACTCAAAAAAAACAAAACAAAAAAACAAAGATACTCGCTGAAGATTTGTTTATATAACAAAGGCTGGCCTCGAGCTCACAAAGCAATCTTCCTGCCTCAGCCTCCAACATGCTGAGATTACTGTACAGCTGGTGGGATTATAGGAATGCACCACCACACCAGGCTTGCATTCTTATTCTTGGGTTTGAGGGGGACAGCCTACTTACTACCTGTATAAATCTTCTTTGTCCTCTCCCAACAAAGCTGAGGAAATTCTTGGCAAGGGTCATAATGAAGAATCAGGAAATTATATAGAACCATGGATCTAGAAAACTACCCACTAAATTGGGAGACCTCCACATAAATCGCCTGTGGTCTATGTATATAAAGAGGGAGGAGATTCACACGGTCGCCTCATTGAAGGGACAAGGAGAAATCAGTTACTAATTCCAGGTGCTGACACTGCACACAAGCTCCTGTGCAAAGTGAAAAATGATGTGACCTGGCTCAGGGTTGGAGGGCGTATTCCAGGAAGAGTCATAGCAGCATTCTCACTGCACTTCAGGTAAAGGAAGTACAGATACTGGAGAAACAGCTGGAAGAAAAATAAATATTTATTATTTTGGTAGAATACTTTTTCCTACATATAAACTGATAAAGATACTGGAAAGAAATTTCAGAGGTCGATTTGAACTACACATCAAACTCTGGTGGCAAAGAAATGAAGTCTGCCAACACCGAGGAGCTCGTCTGGTTTTGCAAGCAATTTATGCTATTTTCAAGTAACAGAGAAGAGAAATTTTTCCTCAGCAACTGTTTTTACTGTCTACTCGTTTATAACTTGAATGGCTTAACTTGGACTTAGCCTGGCTAAGGAACACACCGAGTTTTCCCACCCAAAACCACTCTAGTCCCCTAGGCACCATTTTTCACCATAAGGACTGGGCGCATCTTATTTACATAAAGCATTTGGTAAGAGTTAGAATGCCCCAACAGTTGGTCAGAGTGAAGCTGCACAACTTAAACCAAAAATAAAGTTCTAAAAAAAAAAAAAAAAGTTCTATAGGACTTCTAAGAATACTTACAGTGATATCCTGTGCAGGGATATCCTTCAAGTGAGGCAGAAGAAATGTCTCACTGTATGCTGAATGAAGAATGCCATTTCTATTTGGGACTAAAGGAAAAATCTTACTTCAATAAATAAAAGTTGAGCTGGGCACTGTTGTGCATACTTGTACTCCCAGCTACTGGGAAGGCTGACGCAGGAGGACTGCTAAGTTTGAGGGCAGCCTGGATAATTCAATGAGAGTTCATCTCAAAATAAAAAGGTCTGGGAGCTGGGTGTGGTGGCGCATGCCTGTAATCCCTGCACTGGGGAGGCTGAGGCAGGAGGATCCCTGTGAATTGAGACCAGCCCGGGCTATGTAGTGAGTTTAAGGTCAGTCTCTAAATAGTGAGATGCTGTCTCAAAGAACCAAAAAAATGGATTTGGCCCACACCACCACCAGGGGAGTAAAATAAATAAAATATTATATATATATATACATATATATATATACATTACTCCAGTGAAAACATGAGTAATTTCTTTCCTAAATTTATGCAAAAGTGCTACTTATCTATATCACTGAACACTTTTCTAATCATTTGAGTTCATCTGGAATACTTCAGATAGACACACACACACACATATGGTACTGGAGATCGAACTCAGACCTTGCACTTGTGAGGCATGAGTGGCACCACTGAGCAAAATCCCTGGCCCTACTTCAGGTATTATAAATAATTAGTGGGCTGGGGATTAGTTCCTTGGCAAGTACAAGGTCCTGAGTTGTATTCCCTGTACTGGAAAAAATTAGAATTTGCTTAGAATATTACCTTTTAGACTCAACAGAGCTTTGACTTTAGTGTAGTTAAATCTTAGCTGGGCATGGTGGCGCACGCCTGTAATCCCAGCACTCGGGAGGCTGAGGCAGGAGGATCCTGTGAGTTCAAGACCAGCCTGGGCTACATAGTGAGTTCCAGGTCAGTCTCAACTCCATAGTGAGACCGTGTCCCAAAAAACAAACAAACAGGGCCAGGATTTAGCTCTGTGGTTCCTGGTGCCTGCTTTGTAAGTGCAGGGACCTGAGTTCCATCCCTGGTACCAAAAGAACAAACCAACCAACCAACCATCTTTTTTGTGTGTGTTTTTTTTGAGACAAGGTCTCAGTCACTATGTAGTTTAGACGGGTCCTGAACTCACTATCTAGCCCAGGCTGATCTCGAACTTGTGACAGTCCTCCAGCCTCAGCCTCCTAAGTACTGGCATTACAGACATGTGCCATCATGCCTGCTTAAACTGAACCTAATTAAGAAAACAAGTTTAAGCAAATCATTTGAATGTACAAAAAAAAATGGAAGAATATCCTTAAATTATGTAATTTCAGGACTGGGGATTTGGCTTAGTGGTTCCACTGCCTGCCTTGCCTCCCAAGTTTGATCCCCGGTACCAAAAACAAAAACAAAACAAAAGTAATTTCTTCTTTGTTCTTGCTTGGCATAGGACTGTCCCTAGAAAGCCACGGGGGAAGGGAAACTATGTTCAAAGGATACAGTAGAGCTGCTCTCTTGGGTATCACAGGGCACAAGGCAGTCTCTTCGGTTGAATCCTGAGGCTTTTCATTTAAGTCCTGCTTACAGTTGCTGCAATTATTCTCTTCAGGATTGAAGCCATTTTGAAGAATTTCAGGTTGCTCTTTCATCTTCTCATCTTGTTCAGTATTACTATAATAAAACACTGACTCCACATTGATACTCATTCCTTGAAGACTGTCATCACCAATGCTATGATATTAATTGAAAGCAACAGGTTAATTCTTATTCTTTGAACTTTTGGTGGAAAATTCATTTTCCAAGCATTCAAAATTTTAGGAATCAAACAATACCAGAGATTTAAAATGCAGTGAAGGAAAAAGACCTCTGGATTCTCACTTACCTCAAGAACATTTTTAAGCAAGCGCATGTGACAGTCTCAGGGATGTCAGGGAACTGCTGCAGACAGAGCTGTAGCATCTGTACATCTTTTCTTTCTAAGGCAGTGTCCATTAAGCCAGGGCACAAGCTAAGACAAAAATATCAGAACCATTTTTTATGTTTATAAAAATGTCAACTGTAAAAGACAAGGTCTAAGAGTTATGCATGTGAAGTTTGGGGTACATGAACATCTACCTGTAGGAAAGCACGTGAGTCTGGATAAGCTGCATCAGACAGTTCCGGGGATAAAATGATGGCTCTGCTTTACATCTGCCCAGGAGTCCTGTTATTATGTCCCCAATTGTATGAAAGTCAGGTGTCCACTTAGCCAAAAATTTACGCAGTTCTACTTCAATGTATTTTTCTGAACCATTCTGAAAGGGCAGAATTGAATTCCGGGTGGCGCATTACTAAATGTCACTCAAGTTAAAATTTCCTAGCACAACATTTTCTCAAATCACTAACAGTATAAATGCATTCCTATGAAACAAGTCCACACAATAATTTGTAAGAAAAAACTGCAAAGGCTGGGGATTTGGCTCAGTGGTTCCGCCACCTGCCTTGCAAGCATAAGGGCCTGAGTTTGATCCCCATTACCCGCCTCCCCCAAAAAAACCTGCAAAGGAAAAATATGAGGGTTCAGAAATCCTGTTTTGTTTTCGGTTGGGGGGATACTGGGGATTGAATCTACCAGTGCTTCACCACTAAGCCATGTTCCTAGGATGCTCCTCTCCCACTTTATTTTGAGATAGGGTCTTGCTAAATTGTCCTGGCTGGCCTTGAACTTATAATCCTCCTGCTCAGCCTACTGAGTAGCTGGGATTACAAGTATGCACTACCATGCCCAGATGAAATCTAGTCTCATTATCCTCTAAATAAAATTAACATTAATGTAGTACTGCACTGACTGACATTTTATTTGTATATGAATATTTATTCACTAAACCATATTTAGAAATTAGCACCCAGAAATACAAATATTTAGAAAGCCGAATTACAGGCTAGGTATGGTGGTATGTGCCTGTAATTCAGGATTCAGGAGGCTGAGGCAGGAGGATCATCGCAAATTCAAGGCCAGCCTAGGCTAAATAGTTCAAGGCCAGCCTGAACTACATAGCCAGGCCCCGTCTCAACACCTTCACCACAAAAATAAAAAAAGAAAGCTAAATTACAAACACATTCAATGCAAAGTTCAGCAGGGACAACTTTATGTCAATACCAGAACACTGATTTCATGAGACAATAGTGAAAGTCAAGCCAAAGTTTTGGATAACTCTTACAATCTTACAAGCTGGGTGTGGTAATACAGTAATTCTAGCACTGGGGAGGCTGAGGCAGGAGGATCACCACCAGTTCAAGGCCAGCCTGGTCTACATACCATGACCCTGTCTCAAAAAAAAAAAGATATAACAGAAAACTGGATGTGGTGGTACACACCTATAATCCCAGAACTTCGGACCAGCCTGGGCAATTTAGCAAAAGCCTATCTCAAAATTAAAAAAGCAATGGGAATGTAGCTCATTGGCAAGGCCCTAGCTTCCAACCCCAGTACCACACACATAAAAAGGATATAATACAAATGTTAGTTATAAAATGTCAGGCCGGGGATTTAGCTCAGTGGTTCCGCTGTCTGCCTCGCAAGCATGAAGGTCCCAAGTTTGATCCCCAGCACCCAAAACAAGCAAACATAAATAATGGAACCTCTAGTTTTACTTTTTTTCTTTTGTTTTGGCACCAGGGATTGAACTCGGGACCTTCTGCTTGGAAGGCAGGCGGCAGAACTGAGCCAAATCCCCAGCCCCTAGTTTTATTTTTTTGAGGAACATCACTGATTTCCATAGTTGCAGACAAGCTTGAAACCATACTGAGCAGACTAGATGTTATTGATTTGGCTTATGAATGTGGCTACTGATTAACTTTATGAGTCTCTCCAAGGCCTAAGTGTGAACTGCTAATTGACTTTCGGCTGGTGTATGGAGATGGAGACAGACTTCCCCGTGCCAACAGTCACAAGTGAAGTCTCAGTGATCCATGACATTGTGACGTCTCTAATACCAAGAAAACACTGCAGCTGAGGAATTACGTCTCGGTGCAACCATTCCTTAAGGGCAGGGCTTTGGCTCAGTGGTTCCACTGCCTGCCTCACAAGTGCAAGGGCCTGAGCAAATTCCAGTACCAAGGGGGTGGGGCAGATCAAACATTGTTAGATAACAATGGCAGATGGCTTGTTAGCTATGACCTGCAAGATAGCACAGGTGCCTTATTACCTCTGACATGGTTTTCACAGGTATACATACTTACTCCCTTTTCCCAAGCCTGGCAGTGCATTAGTTTGCCTATTCCACATCTGCCTTCACACCCCTTTGCTATGTTGTATAATCATAAATACTAACTAATCTAGAGCTCTTGGTCTTAGCCAGGACAGAGCTAAGATCAGGTGGTCTTTAGCTAAGAAAGAGCTAAAGATCAACTCCCAGTCCTCCAAGTAAACTATTATACATTTGTTATTCTTTATTCCTTATTTTTTGTTTATTTTTATTTCATCCCCTGCTGTCCCTTCATCAGGTGACTGGGTATCCTCCAGTGCCTGGTCAGGCTCTCAACCCGACACACAGTGGCTGTACCTCTGAAAGTAATAATTTTTAATAAATGGTGCTAGAAAAACTGGCTTTCCACATGCTGAAAATTAAAACCAGACCCATATCTTTCACTATGCAGTAAACTAAAATTGAAATAGATCTAAGGTCCAAATATTAAGAGAAACACTAAAACTACTAGAAGAGAGAATAAGTAAACTCTTAAAGACATTGGTATAGGCAAAGACTTTATGAACAAAACTCTGATCGCACAGGAAATATCACAAAGAATCCACAACTGGATCTCATTAAAAAGCTTTTGCACAGAAAAAGGAACCACCAATGGAGTGAAAAGAACCCACAGTGTGATAAAAATATTTTTGCCAGTTATTCTCAAATGAATAATATCTAGAATATATAAGAACTCAGCCGGGCATGGTGGAGCATGCCTGTAATCCCAGCACTCGGGAGGCTGAGGCAGGAGGATCGATGTGAGTTCGAGACCAGCCTGGGCTACACAGTGAGTTCCAGGTCAGTCTCAACTACATAGTGAGACCCTGTCTCAAAAAACGA